AGAAACTCTAGGCATGGTATATGCTAGTAATCAAGACTTGAGGAACAAGTCCTTCCCCAACTCGGATGAGATATGGTTTGTAAATAGGAATAGTTTCCTGCGCGATGGGCAGAAAACAGTTGGGTGTGCAATTGTGACCACAAAAACAGTAATAGAGGCAAAAGCACTAATGCCTGATACTGTTATTGGTGGGGAACACTCCTTATCCCCATCGGTTGTCAAAGGATGTGGGTTTTTTGCGATGTCATGAGAAAAATAATTTTCTGAAACTCACATAGAAAAATGATTGGCATTTATTTGTATAGAGTTAAATCCCTTAGTTTCCAAGTTTCCATTTACCTTTGTCCCACCAAGGAAGAAGTTCTATTTTACCTTCAGAGATAGGATTAAAGCCATTGCCCAGAGTTTCTGTTCCATGTTGGGATACAGTCCAATCCAGCATCAGGCTAGCTTAGTTTGTGTTCATCAGTCCAGTGTGTGTGGGGTCCACAGGGTTACATGGCTATGGAGGGAACAGAGGCGAATGCAGGAGAACCACAAAGAGCCCAGAACCAACAGCACCAAGAGCAGAGAGAGTGAGAATTCCTTTGTCTTGGGACTATGTATCGCCAAATTTTTGTGATGGCCCTGCCCCCTCTAGCCAATGAACTCTGTTCCCAGGTTTGAGTGACAGGCACCTTCCCTATGTCCCCCCAACTTCACTTCGAATGTGCCCATCTCCCCTTTGTTGACCTCTTCCCCCAATTATCTGTGGGGAATGGGCTGGGTTCCCTGGTGAGTATAAAGTTTCAGCTTCCTGGTGAAGCTGCCCAAATGACCATGCTTATAATGTCTGGCCTCCCTTTTGCTCCTTTCTTGTTATTCATAACTAGCTAATTACAACAGTATCAGTCCCTCAGCGCCAAAAGCAGAAGTTATCGTTTTAACCAGAGCCCTAGAATTGGAAAACGAAAAGGAAATAACAATATATACTGATTCTAAGTAATGCTTCTCCATGAGGCTCATGGGCAACCTGCAAAGAAGAGATACAATGTGGAAAGGAGATACTCAGGTTATTAGAGGTTATAAGAATTCCAAAAGAAGTAGCAATGGTACACTGTGGAGGGCGTCAGTGTGACTATATCATTACATAAAATGTAACAGATTGGTTTGCAACAGATTGGAATCCAAGACCGGGTATTGGATGGATGTCCCCTAATGAAACAGAATGTCTACATGGTACAAATACATGGCCCCTGTAACCTTCAGGTTGACTAGGAAGATGCACCTTGGGCCTCTCCCCTGGATTCAAAGAAGCTGGCGAAAAACCACTGACAAACCTGCTAACTATTCTCACCTACTTCACAGATGGACTGGATCTATCCTCCATAGGCATGATCATTTGTTGTCAATATTTACTCCTTAGGATTGGAAACATAATGTGGTATATGGAGGCACTTACAAACTATACCCATCGTGCCTTAAATGACACATTTAAAGGGATGTCACTCATAACCCCGGAGATGACTCTGAGGATAAAATCCACTGTGTGTGTGTGTGTGTGTGTGTGTGTGTGTGTGTATACACACATACATACATACATACATACATACATATATATTTATTCCTCACCCAAGGATATTTTTCCATTTATCATCACACAGAGTGGGAGGGAGGGAGGGAGGGGGAGAGAGAGAGAGAGAGAGAGAGAGAGAGAGAGAGAGAGAGAAACATCGATGTGATAGAGCCACATCCACTGGTTGCCTCCCTCAGGGCCCAACCAGGGCCAAGGATGAACCACAACCCAGGTACGTGTCCTTGAACGGAATCGAACCCGCGACTCAGTGGTCCACCGCCGATGCTCTAAGTGCTGAGCCAAACTGGCCAGGGTGAAAATCCATATTATAAAACAGAAGGGCTTTAGATGTTCTCACAGCAGCCCGAAAAGGGACTGTGCCGTAATAAAAGATCGAATGTTGCACGTGTAGTCCCGAGGAACATGGAAACATCACCCTTAGCCTTCGGGATATACACCCACAAATGAATTCCATGTCTGATCCATCCATGTCCCTAAATCAATCGACTGAATCCTGGTTTGGATCAGGACCACCAGCGGTCCTTATAGTAATGGACATTAGTCTATGTGGTAGTGCTTATTGTTGCTGCAAACTATGCATGGGCGTACAAGACAGACTGTTACATAAAATAACAAAGCCTAAATACATCATGTTACATTAAGCTGTTACTTTAGGTGAGTCTAAAACTTACTAAGAACGAGCAGAGACTCTCATCCCCTCTATTATCCTGAACTCACCGACCTCACTCGGCAGGGAAACGTTGCAGAATGATGACACCCACCCATATTCCCTTAAGAATGAGGACTGAAATATCTCGAGGTGGGAAGGCTTTAGGGAAGGGCCAAAAACTTGGAGAGAGCCTCCGTAATTACCTGAATATGTACTGTGCTTGCTGGATGGCCTGCACTGTAACAATGCCCCGCCTGAGATGTTTTCTTCAGGGCCCGAAGGTCAAGATTAGGAAACCGCCCGAAACCACCTGAGACCGGTGGAAGCTGCGTGAGGACCCCTCCAGTGACCGCAGCGGGAACTTTCCCCCTCACACCGCCGTTATGATAGGAACATCTCCACCCGAGGCGGAGCTCACCCTCCATCTTCTGTACCTGCACTGGACGCGTTAAGCCGTGTTCGTGTCCCGCGCGAGCCCGCCCCAGAGCCTACGTCGGGGTGCTCCGAGGTCAGCAACTAGCCCCACAGGGCCCTGCAGTCCTTTCCGCGCTGGGGGAGGCGCAGTGTTCGGGGAAGGCTCCTCGCTAGCTGGCTTGCAATACCGTTCCCACGAGCAAAATCCAGTTGTGTGGCGTTTTGGCTGACACCTCCCAGGTGGCCGGAGGCGGGTTTGATTCGGTAACAGGTTCTGTTGCCCTAGCCCTGTGGGGGGCACGCGGCCAAGACATGGCTGCGGATAGGCAAGGCGGCAGTGGCCTGCTCAGGCCCAAGCCTCTGCTGGGTGAGAATATTAGATGAGAGAGGCCCCCACGTCCTCAGAGAGTGAGTGTGTACACACGCTCGTTGCAGTGCCTGGTGTTTCCCGGGCTGTGTGTGTGGGGCAGGGGAGCTCAGATCGAGCGGAGCAGAGAACCCTTCCGTGGTGGGGGCTCAGAGGCCCTGCCGTGTAGCAGCCCTGGAAGAGAGACCCATGATGCAGACAAGGCCCTACCCTTAGGGGTCTCTCACTTTTGACAGGAAACAAGGAAGGACCAACCAGGGAGGGCCTCCACTGTCTCACGCTAGCGAGGGACCAGGCCCTAGACTCCCCAGTGTTCCCGCCTCTCTGCCTTCTTTCAGCGTTCCCCTTCCACACGCTGCAACCTTTGAGTTTGGTGAGTGAGCACTCCACTGTTGTGGCAGGAAGAACAGAGGAGAGGAGGAGGGCGAAGGCAGGACACAGCCGTTCCCACTCGGCCAGGGGGACCCCTGAACTGCCCTGGCCATGACAGATGCACAGGCTGTCAGCAGAGCTCAGGGCCACAGGGAGGTCTTGGATATCGTTGGTATTATAAGTCTCGCGGGGTTGGGGGAGAGAGAGAGAAACATCAAAACATCGATATGAGAGAGGAACACCGATCAGCCACCTCCCGCAGGCGCCCTGACTGGTGATCCAACCCACAACACGGGTATGTGCCCCGACCGCGATCGAACCGGTGACCTTTCGTGCACGGGAGGACGCCCAACCACTGAGAAGTCTTACTTTTGAATCTGATTTAGTGTCAGTTCAGGGAGTACGGTCCTGGGGAGGAAGGGCCCTGACGTGTAAATCCACGTGCTGGGGGGGGGGGGGGGGGGGGGGGGGTGTTTGCTCAGCCACCGATGACTCGGACACGCTGGGATGTCGCTCACTCCGAGAACTTCAAGCTGCACCTTTGAAAACAAAACTTCAATGGACGAGATGCCGGGTGCCAAGGTGCCGGCCCTGCACAGCCCCGAGCGACTGCCGCTTCTGCTTATAACTCACCAAGTACAGATCCTGAGGATCCCATTGTGCCATTGTGGTCTGGGTAGGGAAGGAGGCTCTGGGCAGAGCTCGGCGGGGCCTGTGTTTGCTGGGGCTGCCATAACAAAGCACGGCAGACTGGGCGGCTTAAACAATGGAAGTTAATTTTCTCACAGTTTTAGAGGCCAGAAGTCAGATCACGATTTCGGCTGGCTCAGTTTCTCCTACGGCCTCTCCTTGGCTTGCAGATGGCTGCCTTTTCACTGTCCTCACACAGTCATCCCTCTGTGTCGTCTGCGTCCTGATCCCCTCTTTTTGTAAAGACACCACTCACATCGGGTTAGAGCTCATCCTAAGTGATCCCATTTTAACTTAATCGCCTTCTCAAAGGTCCTATCTCCAAACGTTGTCGCATTCGGAAGTGCTAGGAGTTAGGTCTTCGACCCATGACTACCCGTACCAACAAAGTGGAGACTAAAGCTGGGCATTATGGCGACCCCCCCCCCCCCCCCGCCCCGCCCAGGTGCCGGCTGCCCTGGGGATGGGCTCGTCCCACCGTCAGTCAGTGTAATGATGGGAACTACTTTTGTTGCTGTTTTCCTTTAACTCCGGTTCGGAGCCTGGGATCCTCTTGGGGTTAAACCCAGCGCTGGGGCTCTCGCCTCCGTTCTGTCTCTGGACTCCATTTGCTCTTCCGGTCTCCTCCCCAAGGAAGACCTTTCCGGTTCGCCTAAATGAAATGCCTCCGGGGGTCGGGGCGCGCAGAGGGCGAGAACCAGAGGAAAACAGCTGTGGAATCCGGAAGCCTGGCTTTAGGCTCTGAATTCTCCCGGGACCGTGGCAGACAGGGTCCGCTAGAGGGCGGCGTGGAGGGTGGAGAAGAAGGGCAGAGGACACGTGGGAAAAGAAAGGAGAGGCGGTGGAGGGGCGGGGACAATTTCGACCGCTTCCCGCCTGCGCGCTTGCTGCTTTCAACCCGGTCCGATATTCTGGTATATCTGGGGCCTCGCCGGCCTCGCCAGCACTGAGGCTTGTGGGTCCAGACGGTAGTAGCAATTATGTCTGGGAGAGGCAAGGGCGGTAAAGGCCTAGGCAAAGGTGGTGCCAAGCGCCATCGCAAGGTCCTGAGAGATAACATCCAAGGTATCACCAAGCCCGCCATCCGCCGCCTTGCTCGGCGTGGTGGAGTCAAGCGCATCTCGGGCCTCATTTACGAGGAGACTCGGGGAGTGCTGAAGGTGTTTCTGGAGAACGTGATCCGCGACGCAGTGACCTACACCGAGCACGCCAAGCGCAAGACGGTCACTGCCATGGACGTGGTGTACGCCCTGAAGCGGCAGGGGCGCACTCTGTACGGTTTCGGAGGTTAGGCCCGCCAGCTGCTGCAGGCGCACCCGTGCGGCAATCCCAAAGGCCCTTTTTAGGGCCACCCACGTAGTCCTTGGAAGAGCTGGGCATTGGCGCGCGCGCTCTGCGTTTTGGAGCTCAGATGGACATCTCGGGGCGAGCTTTGAGGGGCGTGTAGGGCCCTTCACCGGAGGTAACTGCCTCGCAATCTCTACCATGTCGCACTTCGGGAGGCGGTGCTGTTTCTCGCCAGCTGAGCCAACTCTCTGAAGAGGGTGCTGGTGGGTGTATTGTGAGCTACGGGACTGGGTGCCGAGGCTCTCCCCGTCCAATCGAGAGCAGTGCAGTGGCAGCGGTGTTTGGGTCTTTCTCGGCGGGTCAGCCGAGCTGCGCAACAGCCCGTGTGCAGGGTCAGCCAATCAGGACAGTGCCATTTGGACCAATGAAACTGCGTTACTGGGATCCACACTTGCGTAGTCTGGAACGCAGCCTTCGCTGGGGCTTCTGGGGCTTCTGGGGCTTCTGGGGCTTCTGGGGCGGGGGGCGGCGAGGCGGCGAGGTTCGCCCTTCGCCGTATTCTGCGCTGGGGACTCCTGTTGACGTGAAGATGCTGGCAGAGGACTTTTTGCTCATAGCTACCTGAGAGGACATTGTGCTTCATCTCTGAACGCTCTAACGGGTTGTTTTTGGGTGTGTTATCCGCACCTGTGGGTCGTTTTACTGGCCGTGGGAAGGAAGTTTAAACCAGCAAATCGAGGCAAGGTCAAGTCACTCGCTGTTAGTTTCAAGGCAGCCTCGGATTTGCGATCCCGAGATGCCAGTTCTGCCACTTGATTGTTTCGAGCTGATTCAACGGTTATTCTGTTTGGGCTCCCCTTCCCTCTTCTGCAATGAGGGAGTTAAGCCAGGTGGCTTGGGGCCCCTGTTCACATTGGAAGGTGTTTTGTGCCACTGCACTGCTCGCTTGAAAAGGTGCGAGAGCACTTGCGAAATCAAATCGAGTCGAAAATCAAGGAACAGAAATACAGGTTATTAGATTACGGGTGAACTCATTAGTGCAACTTTACAACAAATTAGGTAGGTCATATGGCCAGTGTGTAAAAAGTATTCTTGGTTTCCTGTGTTTTTGTAGTTTTGTCTATTGCGGTGGTTTTCAGTTGCCGGTCGTAAACCATGAACAAGGTGGTAAACCTTTCTATTTAGAAAGTGGGAGCCGTTATCTTTAATTGGTGAAACAGAATAAGGTTGAGAGTACCCGGGGCGGGGGTGGATGTGGGTGTGGGTTGTACACCTTGTTTCAATTTTTAGAGGTGTGTGGACCTGCAGTAGGTAATAGTGTAAAATTCTATCTTACTGTAGTTTGGAGTCAGAAATCAGAGCTACTGTACGTATATGGTGATACTGTATACCTCTATATGTAACTATTATGTATTGTTTTCTTCTGAAACAATCTAATGCAAAATGCAAAGGCCCAGGCTCCAGTTCCATCCCCGTTACACACACACACACACCATCTTCTGGCTGTGTGAACCACACATTCCCAGGTGTCTCTTCCTCACCATGTTTAGTTTCTTCAACCATTCACAGGAATAAAACAAAAGCCCTTCCTCCCTCCCAGGGTTATTGTGAAATTGAATGAGCGAAAGATGAGCCATAAGCCACCTGGGAACCTGGGTAATTTTACTGCCTAGGCCACCCAGTCTGGAAGCTGGTCATGTGTTTAAAATTACTTACCCATTTGTTTGTTTGTTTTTTAAATGACATGATTGTGATTGGGACTTGAATCAACTGATATTGATGTCACTCGTGCTTGCATCATGGATGCTGATGCTATTAATAGATTTGTGACCCAATGTAAGGCCCTGCTCTAAGCCCTCTCTGTGTGGATTGTACTATTTCTATTCTTTTTTTTTCTTTTTCTTGGTACGTGCCCCCTAGCAGGACTCTGTGATCCGCAGGCCGACGCTCCAACCGCTGAGCCAAACCAGCCGGGGCTGTGCTATTTCTTTTCATCCTCACAGAGACCTTGAAGTGAGTGCAATTAGGATCCTGCTTTACAAACACGAGGACATTTGACATCTCAGTCTTTTTTCTCCGGAGCTTTTTCCTGGTTAGGAGTCAGGGGGTCAGGAACCCTGGCCCTACCCATATGGGGCCTCAGGACTTAACCCCGTCCCCCCTTTCATCCCCCTCCCACCCTACTTCTGGCACCTCTCTTTATAGCAGTGAGGACCCCAGAGGTCTCTTTCCCACCCTGGTTCTCTTCTGTGCCATCCTTCCTCCTCTTCCTGCCTTTTTTTTCCTTTTCTTTTAATTTTTTTTCCTTTATTGGATTTTTAGGGAGAGGGAGAGAGAGATAGAAACATCGATGAGAGAGAACATCGATTGGCCGCCTCCTGCATGCCCCCCCCACTGGGGATCGGGCCCAGGACCTGGGCATGTGTCCTGACCGGGAATCGAACTGGCGACCTCCTGGTGGTGCATGGGTCGATGCTCAACCACTGAGCCACACCGGCCGGACCTGCCTTTCTTTATGTACTTCACCCTCAGCCCCTAATCATACCCCAGTCCTCTACCACATCCCCAGAAAATTCTGTCAGCAAGGCTGAATCTGATGTCTCTGGGGATATAAAAACAGATATCCCTCCCTAGATTATCTGCGTTCGGGAGCAGATTGGGGGCGCTGGCAGGGGTGCAGCTCAGTGCAATCTTCCTCAGTGAATCTCACCAGGAGCAGGCTAAGTAAGTCTGGGACTGTGGCCATTCATGGGCTTTCCAGATGCCCTGCCCACGGGCAGTTTTCTGTATTCCGTGACCCCGCCAAGGACCTTGGAAGTTCCTCCCAGAGGTACAGTTCAGGCCTGCTCTTGGTCTGCCAACCCCAAGGACTCCAAGAGCCGGGGGCATCGTAAGATGCCCAACTCCCTCACATAAGGCAAAGAGTCGAAGGGGAGGTGATTTAGGGCGCCCCCATCCAGCACTTCCTGGTGTGCCCGGCAGAGGTCAACAAGGACAAGCCCTCACCCGGAGGAATGCTGCCAGTCTCATGGTGAGGGTAAGGGAGTGGGAAGGGGTGCTAGGATAGGACGAGGGAGAGGCAAGGAGGAGGGCCCAAAGAGATGAGGGTAGGGAGGAGAAAGGGAAGGGGCTGAATCTTGAAGAGCAGGGGTTCTCAGGGCTCCAAAAAGGGGGTGGGCATTCCACACAGAAGAAACAGAATGTGTGACGACATCGTATACTTGGAGATGGCAGATATTCTGTGGGTCTGGAACCCACCGGTTCAGCTGGTAGAACACCTGAAACCCGGGGAGGCTCTGAGAAATACCAGGGACTAGATGTATTATTAAAATAATTTTTATTGGGATCTTTTAAATTTAACAGCTATTAATAGAATAGCTAAAATGAATTGAATGCTTATTCTGGACCAGAGACTGTGCCAGGTACTTTACAAGCTGCGTCACTTTTAATATTTCTGACATCATTAGCAAGGTGCTGTTGTCCCCGTTTTACAAATGGGGAAAAGCGAAGCCTACAGAGATGTACTAGCCGAAGTCACACGCCTGTTCTGTTATACGGGCAAGATCAGGATTCAAATTCGAGTTTGTCTAACTGCAGAGTCCCGACTAGTCATTAACCGCCAGTGCTCTGAACTGCCATGTAAAAGAAGGTGGATTTCCTTCTGAAGGGAACTGGGAAGGAGGTGGGAAATTCTTAAGCATGAGAGTGACAGGCTCAAAAAAAAATGCATAACTCTCACACAGAGTGGAAGGTTAGTGGCAGGGCAGAGAATCTAGCCTGAATAATCAGAGCTGGTTGAGGGCATCAGTTAAAGCAGGGACCGTGGATGGATGGAGGGAGGGTGACGGAATTGAAAGTCAGAAAGTACATTTGATAACGTTTGTTGACTCGTGAGATTTGGACAAAGGACACGAGGGAGGAACTTCTGCCCTGGACAGCTTGGGGGTGAGGGTGGAGAGCTGAAAGTAACTTTCATTAAGATGAGAACTATGAAAAATAGCTTGGGGAAGCAAAGTGATGCAGTTTGGGAAATAAGCTGAGGTCGAAGCGCCTATTTGTCCATCCAGAAGGACCTCGCCACGAGGCAGTTAGAAAAATATTGGTATCGAGCTCAGGACAAGGAGATACTGACGCGGGAGCACTTGTTAGAGGCAGAGATATGGAAAGCAGGGAATCCACGCTCTCACTTGAGTTGCAGGGAGGAAAAAGACAAAGGCCAGCATGGGCGAGACCAGGATATTATGGATGGGCCTGGAGGAGGAGGAGGGGGAGAACACCAGAAGGCTGGGATGGGGACCTGGAGAAGGGTAAGGACGAGACGACCAGGAGAGGGTGTGAACCCAGAGGCCAATCCTCTGCCAAGGAAGCAAAGGTGTCAACAGGGCCACAATACGGCACACACGCACCTGTCCCTACTACCGCAAGGCGGGATTCAGTCTGAACAAAGACTCGTTTTTCACTTTGTAAAATGCCAGGTTCAGGGTAGACTTTTCCAGCAACCAAGCTAGCCGTGTAGAAGCTAATTATCAGAGGAAGAGCCTTTATTTACCTTGTCCTTCACTATCCTTTAACTCTCATCTGAGAGTAGAGGAGTGACTTAAGCACAGAAATGATTAAATGTCAAAACCTACATCTTAAACTGTTTTCTCGTATTGATGAACTCAAGTTTGTGCTGGTCTCCCAAACAAATAAATAGCAAGTTTTGAAAGACTGCTGTGAGGGTAGGTAGGCAGGCAGGCCTTTGCAGTGACAGGAACACAAAATTGTATTCTGTTCTTGTCACTTGAGATTCAGACAGGGAGACTTCCTGTAAGTAAGGGGTGAAGTGAAGGAGGCTGGTAAATGAAAGCAGTGCCATCTTGGGGACAGGCAGAGGATGTAGAGGACCAATACCGGCATCTCAGGTTCCAGGGTCTGCCCAGCTAGCTGCTCCTGGACCTGCCTGAGATGCTGGGAAAGTTACTCACCCGGGAGCCTCAGATTGTATCTCAAAAAGCCCTGTGTCTGTAGTATGTCCCTGCAAGGTTTGCCTTTAGAATGGATGAGATGACGGGTGCAAAGATGATGCCTCCCCCCCCCTACTTCATAACTCAAGAGTACAGACCCGAGCCGAGACACCCAGCCTGCGTTGGGGCCAACGCTGGCAAATGAGGGACTGGGCAGAGACCTAGAGGCATGCTCTGGAAATCGCCGTGACCCCGAAACAGGAACATGTGACAACCTGCAGCAAGAGGGCCACGGTCCCTACACTGCTCTCCCCTTTTCTGACACATCAAGGGGAACTTTAGAGTGGAGAAACCACGTCTGGGCACCGTACCCAGGCACGCAGGTCGAAGCTTTCAGACTCCTTCACGGTGTACAGTGAATCGCTCTGTACACACACGCACTCACGCCGCCGCCGCCCCCCCCCCCCCCCCGCGGTTTTGAGATTAGAACAGGGTAGGTGTTGTCCAGTTGCCGAGTGAGGCCCGGAGAGACGCAGGAATTCGAAACTTGAACCGGTAGGGGGGGCGACTTTCCTCCCCAATCCCGAGAGCCGCTCCGGGGTGTGGGGGTGTCACACACGTTTCTGGTGGGGGGGGGAGCGGCACTAAGTTGCCCGAGAGGCCTCCTGGGTGCGCGGCGCCAGCAGCCCATCACCGACCCCGGGCCCCTTTGTGGAATAGACGGCCTAGTAGAGCCCTACCTAGCACGAGTGCGCTAGCTGGCCGAGAAACGAAACTAAGCACCCCAGCCCCAGCCCCAGCCCCAGCCCCACCCAAGAGAGCAGCGACTGCCTGGACCGTGCACGTCAGGAAGACTGGGCGAAATCCTGTAAAGCTCAAGTTGACACCCCAAACACCTTGCCCCTCCTTGGGCGTGGGGGCGCCGAGACCCAGTGAGATATACACTCTTTCTCAGTGCCGTTGTGGGTGGCTCTGAAAAGAGCCTTTGGATGCGATGGAACCTGGAACTGAGCGCGTACTTCTTAGGCCCGCTCCCCACGGATGCGGCGAGCCAGCTGGATGTCCTTGGGCATGATGGTCACGCGCTTGGCGTGGATGGCGCACAGGTTGGTGTCCTCGAACAGCCCCACCAGGTAGGCCTCGCTCGCTTCCTGCAGCGCCATCACGGCCGAACTCTGGAAGCGCAGGTCGGTCTTGAAGTCCTGCGCGATCTCGCGCACCAGCCGCTGGAAGGGCAGCTTGCGTATCAGCAGCTCGGTGGACTTCTGGTAGCGGCGGATCTCGCGCAGCGCCACGGTGCCTGGGCGGTAGCGGTGCGGCTTCTTCACGCCGCCGGTGGCCGGCGCGCTCTTGCGGGCCGCCTTGGTAGCTAGCTGCTTCCGCGGGGCCTTGCCACCGGTCGACTTGCGGGCAGTCTGCTTAGTACGGGCCATGGCGATCGGAAAGACGACCTGAACAACACAGCGGCGGGGAGATTAGCAGGAGTCTGGGTCCGCCGCAGCCGTCTTTATAGGCACAGTCTTTTCCCGATTGGGCGTGACGATAAAATTGAAAGTCCCGCGCTGGCTGTCCATTGGCTGTGATGTCATCCTCTCGGGCGTGCCCGATTGGCTGGGGCAGAATCCCACCCACCCGCCTCACTTTGTATTTTCCAGTTTGCCAACAGTTTTTCTACCTGATTTTTCCTTTCTTTCAAGACGAGTCACTTTCTTCTTCTTCTTCTTCTTTTTTTTTTTTTTTTTTTTTTTAAATCGCAACTGTTATCAGAATGTTCCTTCCGCTGCAGTCCTTCATTCCTTAGGTCACGCTACCCACAATGCCCTCTTCCTTTCCACGCCTTGTAGCTCCCGGATCGAACCTCAATCTTCCGTTTGCCCCCGCCCCCTGGTGGCCTTGTTACCTTTTCAGAGCCCCTTAGTCGATGTGGAGGACCACGTTTCCCGCCTTTCGGGTCGGAAAACTGTCCCCGCCCCGGGCACAAGATCCCGCCCCCGAAAGCCGCTATGTATCTCCGCCGCCAAGGCGTCTCCTTACTTCTAACAAACAAGAAACCCGTGAAGACCGTAGGCCCAGTTAGGCCAAGCCTTCAGGCTCGCCGCGGTCCCGAAAACTGCCCGCTCCCCTACCGACTGGGGTAGGGTCCGCGTGGTGTGCTTTGTGAACGCCCCCTCCCGGCTAGGTCTTAGGTGCCGGGGAAAGGTCTCGGGGTAACTGGGAGGTTGCGCGCTCGGCGCCGAGGGCCGCCTCTCAGGAGTTGGGAGCCGAGTCCCCGGTGGCACCCGAACGGTTAGCGTGTCCCTAAGGTTTACACCCCTGGCCCACGCTACACAATGACGGCAGCAAAGGTGCTCGAGATGCGGGCGGGGAGCAACGGTTAGGAGTCGTAAGGGAATGGCACTCCCACCCCTTCGCGTACTGGGGGGCGGGGAGGGGGTGGCACCGACTGCTGCCAAAGGTGGAACGGAAAAGACTGGCTTACTAAAATAAACAGCTCTTTTATTTGAAAAGAGTGGGTGGCTCTGAAAAGAGCCTTTGATTTCACAGGTGCCCCTTCGAAAGGGGGGCTGGGTGGGCGCCGGACGCACGGCCTCACTTGCCCTTTGCCTTGTGGTGGCTCTCCGTCTTCTTAGGGAGCAGCACGGCCTGGATGTTAGGCAAAACGCCGCCCTGGGCGATGGTCACTTTGCCCAGCAGCTTGTTGAGCTCCTCGTCGTTGCGGATGGCCAGCTGGAGGTGGCGAGGGATGATACGCGTCTTCTTGTTGTCTCGGGCGGCGTTACCCGCCAGCTCCAAGATTTCCGCGGTCAGGTACTCTAGTACCGCCGCCATGTACACGGGCGCGCCGGCTCCTACCCGCTCAGCGTAGTTGCCTTTGCGCAGTAGACGGTGCACACGCCCCACCGGGAACTGGAGGCCAGCGCGGGACGAGCGAGACTTAGCCTTAGCGCGGGCTTTCCCTCCTTGTTTGCCACGACCAGACATGACGGCGTTACGCACTGCGAGCAGCTCCCGACTGACGACCGAGGAAGTCGGCCTAAACGGCTCCGCTTCACCTTTTTATAGGCAGAACGGCGATTGTTCACCGAGCACTTTGATTGGCTAAAGCATAGCTTTGTCCTTATGACCAATAGGAGAGCGCAGGCAGAATCCGCTCATTTGCATAACCTCGCGCCCCCTCCCCCGCGGGAGCGCCACTGAAAGCTCGCCAATCACAAAGCAGCGTGCTCAGAACCTTAATTTGCATACAGCCTCTATAAGTATCGAGCCGCTTCCGGCAGCCTCGGTCCCGCTGCTGTGTTTGCGTTCTTAGTCCTTTTCTGCCCCTGGTGCTTCCCGCTATGCCTGAGCCGGCGAAATCCGCTCCCGCGCCCAAGAAGGGCTCGAAGAAGGCGGTCACCAAAGCTCAGAAGAAGGATGGGAAAAAGCGCAAGCGCAGCCGGAAGGAGAGCTATTCCATCTACGTGTACAAGGTGCTCAAGCAGGTGCACCCCGACACCGGCATCTCGTCTAAGGCCATGGGCATCATGAACTCCTTCGTCAACGACATCTTCGAGCGCATCGCCGGCGAAGCGTCCCGCCTGGCGCATTACAACAAGCGCTCGACCATCACGTCCCGGGAGATCCAGACGGCCGTGCGCCTGCTGCTGCCCGGCGAGCTGGCCAAGCACGCCGTGTCCGAGGGCACCAAGGCCGTCACCAAGTACAACCAGCTCCAAGTGAGTCCCTCCCGGGACGCGGCGCTCGCACGAGTCGCCGACCGTTCGACCCCCTCCCCCAAAGGCTCTTTTCAGAGCCACCTATCTCCTCCGGGAAAGAGCTCGTCACTTCTCTTTATTCCCAACGCCTGTACCGTTCTTTCCCACACCACCTACCCATTTTCCAGTGAAAACATCAGTGTTTTCAGGAATGACCAGAAAGCAGACACACAGAAGACCAGTTCTGTAGCCTGCGGAAGAGCTAGCTAGAGGCCCGGCTCATCCCCACACAAGTAAAGGCCTTCTCCACAGTGACAGTGAAAGGTCCAGAGATGGGCGGTCACCAATGCAAACCTAACTGAGGGGCTTGGGGGGGCACTTGGGTCAGGTCAGTATTTTATTCCTTTTGATCTCTGGAAAGGACGTAATGCTCCTGAGGCCACGCCCCAGCACCCATAGTAAACTTTTCTGGTGCTCCCAGATACCTTGATGCTGTGGTTGGAGGTAATTTTCACTTTGCACACTCCTCCCATCTCAGTTTTGTATCCCTTTCAGGTACACAGGATCAACACATACTATTGCTCTGATTCGAGAAGTTAAAACACTGTCAGATTAAGGTAACACCTACACAATTTCCCATAGTTGTAATTTTGTCCTTTTATAATCTGGATGAGGAAAAGAGGAGGAAAGGGGATTTATAGATATTCAGGGATTTCAGCAGCCTGAGCCTGCTTTTCATCGAGTGTCCTCCAGAGACTTCAAACAGCAGTTTATAACGTTAAAACTACCCAGCCTTAAAAACATTTGTCCCTTTCCTGGAACAATTCATTCTCTCTTCGAAAATAGAGGCACTAACATTTAGAGCGTGATACAGGCCCTCTCCATTTTTGACACCAGGTGATTACTAATAAGTGTTTATCCTAAAACAGTTCAAAGGCCATTAGACACTGAATCAATCAACCTATCCCTAAAAATCCACATACGTCCGCTGAACCCAAATCACTGGGGCACTCACTGGTGGTGAGAAGCAAGGACGAACAACCTATGGAGCACACCAGGAGATTCACAGTTGATAACCACTGGCACGTTGGTTATGCAGTTGCCTTGTTCCTTGGTAAGAACCTGTTCAATTTTTTAGTCACGGCCCCAGACATTTTCCTCCTTTTGTCCTAACTGCCCTTCCCCAGAATTCTTTGTAATGCTACGCACAAAACTAGCTGCATTTCCCCTTTATTCCTTAATTCAGGGCACCAAATATCGTGTAGGACTTTACATTTCTGCCTTTATTAGAGTTCGGAAACATTTTAAAGAGGTCAAATGAGGACAGAAGGTAAAGTACAAAATAAAGACATGAAACTGAAACTCCCTATTAAAAAAATATGTTAGCCCTGGCCGGTTTGGCTCAGCGGTTAGAGCGTCCGCCTGCGGTCCGGAGAGACCCGGGTTCGGTTCCCGCTAAGGGCATGTACCTCGGTTGCAGTTTGTCCCCGGCCCTGGTTGGTCGTGCGGGTGGCAGCCACTCGATGTGTCCCTTTCACATCGATGTTTCCTTCTCTCTCTCTTCATCTCTCTCCCTCCCACTCTGTCTGTACAAAAAATGGAAAAATGTCCTCGGGTGAGGATAAAAAAATATATATATATATGTTAAGCACAAGGGTCCTAACTCATCCCCTTGCTTCACACACACCACACCCCCCCCCCCCCAGGCTTATGTTCCTGCACAAAACCCCCAAATACTGTAGTTATGCACTAAATCCCATCCCCTCTTTGCCATGGTTTTGGCCCCCAGGAAACATTTCCTGTTTTGATCATGCCTTGCTTGGATCTGCTGCAGAGATGAGGCCGATGGTTGGAGCTTAGATTTTCAGGTAAAGCATGGAGATGTGGAGGAGAGAGGGAGAAAATGGGACATTTTAAGAGACTCCCACGATTTGGGAGAGGGAGTGCTCACTATTTCATTCTGAGCATTCCAGTAGATGGATGCTGAAATAAGCAGATGTAAGAAATAGATAAAGAATGATATTAAGGCAGTGATATGTTCTATGACATATGGAGTGGAGTGTGGATGACCGGTCTAATCCGTTAATATTTGAGCAGAGGCCTGCCTGAATAAAGTAAGGTAGTGAGCCATAGGATGGCTTGGAGAAGAGTATGAAAAACAGACAAACCGGCAAGAACAAAGGCCCTGAGGCAGGCAAAAGTTTGGGCACTTCAAGGAATAAGCAAGGCTACTGTGGTTAAAGCGTAGTGAGCAAAGAATAGATGTGCAGGGAGATCACATCAGAGAGGTAGTTAGTCACCAAGGCCACTGCAAAAATTTCACCCTGCATTCTAAAAATGTTGGTCAGTCTTTGGAGGGTTTGGTGAAAGTAAAGACATTATTTGACTTTTCTTTTCTGAAGCCCACAAGAGATCCTATGTTGAAAGATAGACTAGGACAGCAAGAGTAGAGGCAGGGAGAATATATCAAAGAGGTTACAATAATAGTTTAGGAAAAAGAGAGGTGGTAGCAGTGGAGACACTGTGAAGCAGTCTATGAGGAATAGTGATTAAAAGCTAAATCTCTCCTGCACGTATTAGGTTATTCACACATGGTGGGATTCTCTTAACATGTTTTGTTTTCTGTGGGTTTTTTTTTTTTTTTGCTTGTTATATTCCTCCACTGCAAACTCGGTCTGTCCCGTTTTCTCCCTCTCTCCTCCACATCTCCATGCTTTACCTGAAAATCTAAGCTCCAACCATCGGCCTCATCTTGCAGCAGATCCAAGCAAGGCATGATCAAAAACAGGGAAATGTTTCCTGGGGCCAAAACATTGCAAAGAGGGGATGGGATTTAGTGCAATAACTACAGTATTTGGGGTTTTGTGCAGGAACATAAGCCTGGGGGGGGGGGGGGTGTGGTGTGTGTGAAGCAAGGGGATGAGTTAGGACCCTTGTGCTTAACATATATATATATATTTTTTTATCCTCACCCGAGGACATTTTTCCATTTTTTGTACAGACAGAGTGGGAGGGAGAGAGATGAAGAGAGAGAGAAGGAAACATCGATGTGAAAGGGACACATCGAGTGGCTGCCACCCGCACGACCAACCAGGGCCGGGGACAAACTGCAACCGAGGTACATGCCCTTAGCGGGAACCGAACCCGGGTCTCTCCGGACCGCAGGCGGACGCTCTAACCGCTGAGCCAAACCGGCCAGGGCTAACATATTTTTTTAATAGGGAGTTTCAGTTTCATGTCTTTATTTTGTACTTTACCTTCTGTCCTCATTTGACCTCTTTAAAATGTTTCCGAACTCTAATAAAGGCAGAAATGTAAAGTCCTACACGATATTTGGTGCCCTGAATTAAGGAATAAAGGGGAAATGCAGCTAGTTTTGTGCGTAGCATTACAAAGAATTCTGGGGAAGGGCAGTTAGGACAAAAGGAGGAAAATGTCTGGGGCCGTGACTAAAAAATTGAACAGGTTCTTACCAAGGAACAAGGCAACTGCATAACCAACGTGCCAGTGGTTATCAACTGTGAATCTCCTGGTGTGCTCCATAGGTTGTTCGTCCTTGCTTCTCACCACCAGTGAGTGCCCCAGTGATTTGGGTTCAGCGGACGTATGTGGATTTTTAGGGATAGGTTGATTGATTCAGTGTCTAATGGCCTTTGAACTGTTTTAGGATAAACACTTATTAGTAATCACCTGGTGTCAAAAATGGAGAGGGCCTGTATCACGCTCTAAATGTTAGTGCCTCTATTTTCGAAGAGAGAATGAATTGTTCCAGGAAAGGGACAAATGTTTTTAAGGCTGGGTAGTTTTAACGTTATAAACTGCTGTTTGAAGTCTCTGGAGGACACTCGATGAAAAGCAGGCTCAGGCTGCTGAAATCCCTGAATATCTATAAATCCCCTTTCCTCCTCTTTTCCTCATCCAGATTATAAAAGGACAAAATTACAACTATGGGAAATTGTGTAGGTGTTACCTTAATCTGACAGTGTTTTAACTTCTCGAATCAGAGCAATAGTATGTGTTGATCCTGTGTACCTGAAAGGGATACAAAACTGAGATGGGAGGAGTGTGCAAAGTGAAAATTACCTCCAACCACAGCATCAAGGTATCTGGGAGCACCAGAAAAGTTTACTATGGGTGCTGGGGCGTGGCCTCAGGAGCATTACGTCCTTTCCAGAGATCAAAAGGAATAAAATACTGACCTGACCCAAGTGCCCCCCAAGCCCCTCAGTTAGGTTTGCATTGGTGACCGCCCATCTCTGGACCTTTCACTGTCACTGTGGAGAAGGCCTTTACTTGTGTGGGGATGAGCCGGGCCTCTAGCTAGCTCTTCCGCAGGCTACAGAACTGGTCTTCTGTGTGTCTGCTTTCTGGTCATTCCTGAAAACACTGATGTTTTCACTGGAAAATGGGTAGGTGGTGTGGGAAAGAACGGTACAGGCGTTGGGAATAAAGAGAAGTGACGAGCTCTTTCCCGGAGGAGATAGGTGGCTCTGAAAAGAGCCTTTGGGGGAGGGGGTCGAACGGTCGGCGACTCGTGCGAGCGCCGCGTCCCGGGAGGGACTCACTTGGAGCTGGTGTACTTGGTGACGGCCTTGGTGCCCTCGGACACGGCGTGCTTGGCCAGCTCGCCGGGCAGCAGCAGGCGCACGGCCGTCTGGATCTCCCGGGACGTGATGGTCGAGCGCTTGTTGTAATGCGCCAGGCGGGACGCTTCGCCGGCGATGCGCTCGAAGATGTCGTTGACGAAGGAGTTCATGATGCCCATGGCCTTAGACGAGATGCCGGTGTCGGGGTGCACCTGCTTGAGCACCTTGTACACGTAGATGGAATAGCTCTCCTTCCGGCTGCGCTTGCGCTTTTTCCCATCCTTCTTCTGAGCTTTGGTGACCGCCTTCTTCGAGCCCTTCTTGGGCGCGGGAGCGGATTTCGCCGGCTCAGGCATAGCGGGAAGCACCAGGGGCAGAAAAGGACTAAGAACGCAAACACAGCAGCGGGACCGAGGCTGCCGGAAGCGGCTCGATACTTATAGAGGCTGTATGCAAATTAAGGTTCTGAGCACGCTGCTTTGTGATTGGCGAGCTTTCAGTGGCGCTCCCGCGGGGGAGGGGGCGCGAGGTTATGCAAATGAGCGGATTCTGCCTGCGCTCTCCTATTGGTCATAAGGACAAAGCTATGCTTTAGCCAATCAAAGTGCTCGGTGAACAATCGCCGTTCTGCCTATAAAAAGGTGAAGCGGAGCCGTTTAGGCCGACTTCCTCGGTCGTCAGTCGGGAGCTGCTCGCAGTGCGTAACGCCGTCATGTCTGGTCGTGGCAAACAAGGAGGGAAAGCCCGCGCTAAGGCTAAGTCTCGCTCGTCCCGCGCTGGCCTCCAGTTCCCGGTGGGGCGTGTGCACCGTCTACTGCGCAAAGGCAACTACGCTGAGCGGGTAGGAGCCGGCGCGCCCGTGTACATGGCGGCGGTACTAGAGTACCTGACCGCGGAAATCTTGGAGCTGGCGGGTAACGCCGCCCGAGACAACAAGAAGACGCGTATCATCCCTCGCCACCTCCAGCTGGCCATCCGCAACGACGAGGAGCTCAACAAGCTGCTGGGCAAAGTGACCATCGCCCAGGGCGGCGTTTTGCCTAACATCCAGGCCGTGCTGCTCCCTAAGAAGACGGAGAGCCACCACAAGGCAAAGGGCAAGTGAGGCCGTGCGTCCGGCGCCCACCCAGCCCCCCTTTCGAAGGGGCACCTGTGAAATCAAAGGCTCTTTTCAGAGCCACCCACTCTTTTCAAATAAAAGAGCTGTTTATTTTAGTAAGCCAGTCTTTTCCGTTCCACCTTTGGCAGCAGTCGGTGCCACCCCCTCCCCGCCCCCCAGTACGCGAAGGGGTGGGAGTGCCATTCCCTTACGACTCCTAACCGTTGCTCCCCGCCCGCATCTCGAGCACCTTTGCTGCCGTCATTGTGTAGCGTGGGCCAGGGGTGTAAACCTTAGGGACACGCTAACCGTTCGGGTGCCACCGGGGACTCGGCTCCCAACTCCTGAGAGGCGGCCCTCGGCGCCGAGCGCGCAACCTCCCAGTTACCCCCGAGACCTTTCCCCGGCACCTAAGACCTAGCCGGGAGGGGGCGTTCACAAAGCACACCACGCGGACCCTACCCCAGTCGGTAGGGGAGCGGGCAGTTTTCGGGACCGCGGCGAGCCTGAAGGCTTGGCCTAACTGGGCCTACGGTCTTCACGGGTTTCTTGTTTGTTAGAAGTAAGGAGACGCCTTGGCGGCGGAGATACATAGCGGCTTTCGGGGGCGGGATCTTGTGCCCGGGGCGGGGACAGTTTTCCGACCCGAAAGGCGGGAAACGTGGTCCTCCACATCGACTAAGGGGCTCTGAAAAGGTAACAAGGCCACCAGGGGGCGGGGGCAAACGGAAGATTGAGGTTCGATCCGGGAGCTACAAGGCGTGGAAAGGAAGAGGGCATTGTGGGTAGCGTGACCTAAGGAATGAAGGACTGCAGCGGAAGGAACATTCTGATAACAGTTGCGATTTAAAAAAAAAAAAAAAAAAAAAAAAGAAGAAGAAGAAGAAGAAAGTGACTCGTCTTGAAAGAAAGGAAAAATCAGGTAGAAAAACTGTTGGCAAACTGGAAAATAGAAAGTGAGGCGGGTGGGTGGGATTCTGCCCCAGCCAATCGGGCACGCCCGAGAGGATGACATCACAGCCAATGGACAGCCAGCGCGGGACTTTCAATTTTATCGTCACGCCCAATCGGGAAAAGACTGTGCCTATAAAGACGGCTGCGGCGGACCCAGACTCCTGCTAATCTCCCCGCCGCTGTGTTGTTCAGGTCGTCTTTCCGATCGCCATGGCCCGTACTAAGCAGACTGCCCGCAAGTCGACCGGTGGCAAGGCCCCGCGGAAGCAGCTAGCTACCAAGGCGGCCCGCAAGAGCGCGCCGGCCACCGGCGGCGTGAAGAAGCCGCACCGCTACCGCCCAGGCACCGTGGCGCTGCGCGAGATCCGCCGCTACCAGAAGTCCACCGAGCTGCTGATACGCAAGCTGCCCTTCCAGCGGCTGGTGCGCGAGATCGCGCAGGACTTCAAGACCGACCTGCGCTTCCAGAGTTCGGCCGTGATGGCGCTGCAGGAAGCGAGCGAGGCCTACCTGGTGGGGCTGTTCGAGGACACCAACCTGTGCGCCATCCACGCCAAGCGCGTGACCATCATGCCCAAGGACATCCAGCTGGCTCGCCGCATCCGTGGGGAGCGGGCCTAAGAAGTACGCGCTCAGTTCCAGGTTCCATCGCATCCAAAGGCTCTTTTCAGAGCCACCCACAACGGCACTGAGAAAGAGCTGTATATCTCACTGGGTCTCGGCGCCCCCACGCCCAAGGAGGGGCAAGGTGTTTGGGGTGTCAACTTGAGCTTTACAGGATTTCGCCCAGTCTTCCTGACGTGCACGGTCCAGGCAGTCGCTGCTCTCTTGGGTGGGGCTGGGGCTGGGGCTGGGGCTGGGGTGCTTAGTTTCGTTTCTCGGCCAGCTAGCGCACTCGTGCTAGGTAGGGCTCTACTAGGCCGTCTATTCCACAAAGGGGCCCGGGGTCGGTGATGGGCTGCTGGCGCCGCGCACCCAGGAGGCCTCTCGGGCAACTTAGTGCCGCTCCCCCCCCCACCAGAAACGTGTGTGACACCCCCACACCCCGGAGCGGCTCTCGGGATTGGGGAGGAAAGTCGCCCCCCCTACCGGTTCAAGTTTCGAATTCCTGCGTCTCTCCGGGCCTCACTCGGCAACTGGACAACACCTACCCTGTTCTAATCTCAAAACCCGCGGGGGGGGGGGGGGGGGGCGGCGGCGGCGTGAGTGCGTGTGTGTACAGAGCGATTCACTGTACACCGTGAAGGAGTCTGAAAGCTTCGACCTGCGTGCCTGGGTACGGTGCCCAGACGTGGTTTCTCCACTCTAAAGTTCCCCTTGATGTGTCAGAAAAGGGGAGAGCAGTGTAGGGACCGTGGCCCTCTTGCTGCAGGTTGTCACATGTTCCTGTTTCGGGGTCACGGCGATTTCCAGAGCATGCCTCTAGGTCTCTGCCCAGTCCCTCATTTGCCAGCGTTGGCCCCAACGCAGGCTGGGTGTCTCGGCTCGGGTCTGTACTCTTGAGTTATGAAGTAGGGGGGGGGAGGCATCATCTTTGCACCCGTCATCTCATCCATTCTAAAGGCAAACCTTGCAGGGACATACTACAGACACAGGGCTTTTTGAGATACAATCTGAGGCTCCCGGGTGAGTAACTTTCCCAGCATCTCAGGCAGGTCCAGGAGCAGCTAGCTGGGCAGACCCTGGAACCTGAGATGCCGGTATTGGTCCTCTACATCCTCTGCCTGTCCCCAAGATGGCACTGCTTTCATTTACCAGCCTCCTTCACTTCACCCCTTACTTACAGGAAGTCTCCCTGTCTGAATCTCAAGTGACAAGAACAGAATACAATTTTGTGTTCCTGTCACTGCAAAGGCCTGCCTGCCTACCTACCCTCACAGCAGTCTTTCAAAACTTGCTATTTATTTGTTTGGGAGACCAGCACAAACTTGAGTTCATCAATACGAGAAAACAGTTTAAGATGTAGGTTTTGACATTTAATCATTTCTGTGCTTAAGTCACTCCTCTACTCTCAGATGAGAGTTAAAGGATAGTGAAGGACAAGGTAAATAAAGGCTCTTCCTCTGATAATTAGCTTCTACACGGCTAGCTTGGTTGCTGGAAAAGTCTACCCTGAACCTGGCATTTTACAAAGTGAAAAACGAGTCTTTGTTCAGACTGAATCCCGCCTTGCGGTAGTAGGGACAGGTGCGTGTGTGCCGTATTGTGGCCCTGTTGACACCTTTGCTTCCTTGGCAGAGGACTTGGCCTCTGGGTTCACACCCTCTCCTGGTCGTCTCGTCCTTACCCTTCTCCAGGTCCCCATCCCAGCCTTCTGGTGTTCTCCCCCTCCTCCTCCTCCAGGCCCATCCATAATATCCTGGTCTCGCCCATGCTGGCCTTTGTCTTTTTCCTCCCTGCAACTCAAGTGAGAGCGTGGATTCCCTGCTTTCCATATCTCTGCCTCTAACAAGTGCTCCCGCGTCAGTATCTCCTTGTCCTGAGCTCGATACCAATATTTTTCTAACTGCCTCGTGGCGAGGTCCTTCTGGATGGACAAATAGGCGCTTCGACCTCAGCTTATTTCCCAAACTGCATCACTTTGCTTCCCCAAGCTATTTTTCATAGTTCTCATCTTAATGAAAGTTACTTTCAGCTCTCCACCCTCACCCCCAAGCTGTCCAGGGCAGAAGTTCCTCCCTCGTGTCCTTTGTCCAAATCTCACGAGTCAACAAACGTTATCAAATGTACTTTCTGACTTTCAATTCCGTCACCCTCCCTCCATCCATCCACGGTCCCTGCTTTAACTGATGCCCTCAACCAGCTCTGATTATTCAGGCTAGATTCTCTGCCCTGCCACTAACCTTCCACTCTGTGTGAGAGTTATGCATTTTTTTTGAGCCTGTCACTCTCATGCTTAAGAATTTCCCACCTCCTTCCCAGTTCCCTTCAGAAGGAAATCCACCTTCTTTTACATGGCAGTTCAGAGCACTGGCGGTTAATGACTAGTCGGGACTCTGCAGTTAGACAAACTCGAATTTGAATCCTGATCTTGCCCGTATAACAGAACAGGCGTGTGACTTCGGCTAGTACATCTCTGTAGGCTTCGCTTTTCCCCATTTGTAAAACGGGGACAACAGCACCTTGCTAATGATGTCAGAAATATTAAAAGTGACGCAGCTTGTAAAGTACCTGGCACAGTCTCTGGTCCAGAATAAGCATTCAATTCATTTTAGCTATTCTATTAATAGCTGTTAAATTTAAAAGATCCCAATAAAAATTATTTTAATAATACATCTAGTCCCTGGTATTTCTCAGAGCCTCCCCGGGTTTCAGGTGTTCTACCAGCTGAACCGGTGGGTTCCAGACCCACAGAATATCTGCCATCTCCAAGTATACGATGTCGTCACACATTCTGTTTCTTCTGTGTGGAATGCCCACCCCCTTTTTGGAGCCCTGAGAACCCCTGCTCTTCAAGATTCAGCCCCTTCCCTTTCTCCTCCCTACCCTCATCTCTTTGGGCCCTCCTCCTTGCCTCTCCCTCGTCCTATCCTAGCACCCCTTCCCACTCCCTTACCCTCACCATGAGACTGGCAGCATTCCTCCGGGTGAGGGCTTGTCCTTGTTGACCTCTGCCGGGCACACCAGGAAGTGCTGGATGGGGGCGCCTAAATCACCTCCCCTTCGACTCTTTGCCTTATGTGAGGGAGTTGGGCATCTTACGATGCCCCCGGCTCTTGGAGTCCTTGGGGTTGGCAGACCAAGAGCAGGCCTGAACTGTACCTCTGGGAGGAACTTCCAAGGTCCTTGGCGGGGTCACGGAATACAGAAAACTGCCCGTGGGCAGGGCATCTGGAAAGCCCATGAATGGCCACAGTCCCAGACTTACTTAGCCTGCTCCTGGTGAGATTCACTGAGGAAAGATTGCACTGAGCTGCACCCCTGCCAGCGCCCCCAATCTGCTCCCGAACGCAGATAATCTAGGGAGGGATATCTGTTTTTATATCCCCAGAGACATCAGATTCAGCCTTGCTGACAGAATTTTCTGGGGATGTGGTAGAGGACTGGGGTATGATTAGGGGCTGAGGGTGAAGTACATAAAGAAAGGCAGGTCCGGCCGGTGTGGCTCAGTGGTTGAGCATCGACCCATGCACCACCAGGAGGTCGCCAGTTCGATTCCCGGTCAGGACACATGCCCAGGTCCTGGGCCCGATCCCCAGTGGGGGGGGCATGCAGGAGGCGGCCAATCGATGTTCTCTCTCATCGATGTTTCTATCTCTCTCTCCCTCTCCCTAAAAATCCAATAAAGGAAAAAAAATTAAAAGAAAAGGAAAAAAAGGCAGGAAGAGGAGGAAGGATGGCACAGAAGAGAACCAGGGTGGGAAAGAGACCTCTGGGGTCCTCACTGCTATAAAGAGAGGTGCCAGAAGTAGGGGTGGGAGGGGGATGAAAGGGGGGACGGGGTTAAGTCCTGAGGCCCCATATGGGTAGGGCCAGGGTTCCTGACCCCCTGACTCCTAACCAGGAAAAAGCTCCGGAGAAAAAAGACTGAGATGTCAAATGTCCTCGTGTTTGTAAAGCAGGATCCTAATTGCACTCACTTCAAGGTCTCTGTGAGGATGAAAAGAAATAGCACAGCCCCGGCTGGTTTGGCTCAGCGGTTGGAGCGTCGGCCTGCGGATCACAGAGTCCTGCTAGGGGGCACGTACCAAGAAAAAGAAAAAAAAAGAATAGAAATAGTACAATCCACACAGAGAGGGCTTAGAGCAGGGCCTTACATTGGGTCACAAATCTATTAATAGCATCAGCATCCATGATGCAAGCACGAGTGACATCAATATCAGTTGATTCAAGTCCCAATCACAATCATGTCATTTAAAAAACAAACAAACAAATGGGTAAGTAATTTTAAACACATGACCAGCTTCCAGACTGGGTGGCCTAGGCAGTAAAATTACCCAGGTTCCCAGGTGGCTTATGGCTCATCTTTCGCTCATTCAATTTCACAATAACCCTGGGAGGGAGGAAGGGCTTTTGTTTTATTCCTGTTGAATGGTTGAAGAAACTAAACATGGTGAGGAAGAGACACCTGGGAATGTGTGGTTCACACAGCCAGAAGATGGTGTGTGTGTGTGTGTAACGGGGATGGAACTGGAGCCTGGGCCTTTGCATTTTGCATTAGATTGTTTCAGAAGAAAACAATACATAATAGTTACATATAGAGGTATACAGTATCACCATATACGTACAGTAGCTCTGATTTCTGACTCCAAACTACAGTAAGATAGAATTTTACACTATTACCTACTGCAGGTCCACACACCTCTAAAAATTGAAACAAGGTGTACAACCCACACCCACATCCACCCCCGCCCCGGGTACTCTCAACCTTATTCTGTTTCACCAATTAAAGATAACGGCTCCCACTTTCTAAATAGAAAGGTTTACCACCTTGTTCATGGTTTACGACCGGCAACTGAAAACCACCGCAATAGACAAAACTACAAAAACACAGGAAACCAAGAATACTTTTTACACACTGGCCATATGACCTACCTAATTTGTTGTAAAGTTGCACTAATGAGTTCACCCGTAATCTAATAACCTGTATTTCTGTTCCTTGATTTTCGACTCGATTTGATTTCGCAAGTGCTCTCGCACCTTTTCAAGCGAGCAGTGCAGTGGCACAAAACACCTTCCAATGTGAAC